ACTGAGACAAATTGAGTCCTAGAGCTGAAATGGAAGTAGTTTTCTGGATCAACCCCCTTTCTTGGAGTACATTAATATCTAAAACATCTGAACTAAAGCCACCCAGATTATCTTAATAATTATTTCAGTAATTTCCAAGTGAAAAAGACTACATACTTGATTGCCTATTTTGGTATGTAATAAAAGTCCATTCTCATTTAACATATGAATTGCCACTTCAAGTTGCCCTGATGCTGAATCTAAGGAGTAATTTTATAATTGCATAAAATTCTCAAGTGGCCTAACATGGACCTAAATATTTCTAAGCTCTCCAAGTATGTCTTAGTTATGAAGCAAAGATATGCCAAACACATGCTAAATACTAGTAACAACATATGTGCAGAAAGAATGATCAGTGGCAAAGCTTTTCTCTAAAAGAACCAAACTCTTCCTGTATCTGAAATACAGGGTGATAACTCAGTCGGGTATCATCAAAAGTGCTCCAGTTCCAAAATGACTTTATGACTACTTAGCCTTCAGAAGTCACAGCTACAAATAAAAGGCATATTGCTATGGAAACGACAGCAAAATGGCCAACCATTTTGCTTTACAGACATAATTTAGACATCTGAAAACTAGCTTTACATGGAGCTCTTTGTACTCTAGATAGCTGAAATCATTTCACCTAATTTAAGTCAAAAGTGAATGCTATATAATAACCTTATGAAAAAACAGCAGTCTAGCAATCAGCAAAAAGAACAAAAATAAGGAGACATGTTCTTTAAAAAGTGGCAAAGTCTCCTTGAATATCTACTGAGTGTGATTAAAAGTGTGATTTTTAAGAGATAAAAAGAATACCAATGAACAGAAGAGAATGATATGCAGGCAAATGGTGATATGCTGAATATATAATGTGAAGGAGGGAAAAGGGATAACTTCTTAAAACATCTAATACTCAGAAATCTCTAATTTTTCTTCACAGTAGACAGAAGTCAACTTAATATTACCAAAAGGAGTCCTGGCAGAAAATAAAAGAACTGTGATAGCCCTCTTTAATTGTGTGATTTTTCCTCTTTAAAGATCAAAAATTTCAATATAAGTTGGCTTCCAAGAAACAATACAATGCCCAGCACACCCTGAAATTTGATCTTTTCCACAAAAACTTTCAGACTGCAGATGCCATCATAGCACAACTGCTGAATACTTGAGAATACAAAATGCAAAGTGGGGAAGATTCATGGGCAGGAGAACCTTTGTAGTGATTCAAGTCCATAAATAAGGCTGATCTAGGTCTTAAAAGCTTTATCCATCATATTCAGACTCAGCATGGACTCTAAAACCCTGCTGTTTCTGTCACTTTTAGCCAATTGTTGGTTACAATCAACAACCATCAAGTCCTAATGACTGTCAAGGTCTGTGCTAAGGCCACAGAACACAAAAAGAGAAATGATGTGACTTTTCTGGCATCCAGTTTATTTTCCTGGACTTCTGGCATCAAATGTGTAAGGAGGACTAAGGAAGGAGAAAAAAACATCCTCTTTTTGGGTTGTCTTAGCTTTAAAAAAACACATGATATCATTTGTTCTTCACCACTACCCTCTTAGGTGAAATTCTCACTTAAAAGTGAATTATCTAAGACCCAAAGAGATTGGGAAACTTGCCCAATGTCACACAGCTAATAAGTAGAGAAGCTGGAATTCAACCTAAATCTGTCTGATTATAAGCAATCCATTACCCAATCTACCTCCCAGAAGGAAAGTCTAAATAGTGGTTATCAAACAAGTTTCTACTGAATTATTAAAATATCCCTATAGTAGGAAACCAAAAAAAGTGACTGAAATTTGAACTGAATATTTAAACTGAAAAGTCTGGAAATTTTAAAATGTTTAATTCTTATATATTGATGATACACTATGTATAATACACATTATACATAGAATGTAATGGATACATTTCAGAAGAAAAATGTGTCAACATATACCAAGTTGTTTTTTTAAAGATGTAATCCATTCCCAGGAATTAAGTCTCACAAAATAATCAGCAACATGCACAAACATGTATATATAAGGACATCCAGGGTTGTGTATAACAGAGAAAACTTGGGGGAGAGGGGGTGATACCTGAATATCTAACTACAGGAAATTGGTTAAATATATTATATCACACATATGCAATTTCTATATAATACCTGCTAAAAGCAATGATGTAGACTCATATTTACAGACATCAAAAACTACTCACAGCACTAGCAGGTTTGGCTCAGTGGATAGAGCATTGGCCTGCGGACTGGAGGATCCCGGGTTTGATTCCAGTCAACGGTACGTGCTCAAGTTGTGGCTCGATCCCCAGTAGGGGGCAGCCAATCAATGATTCTCTCTCATAATTGATGTTTCTATCTCTATCTCCCTCTCCCTTCCTCTCTGAAATCAATACATACATATATAGATAGATAGATAGATAGATAGATAGATATAAATATAGATATAGATATAGATATATAGATAGATATAGATAGATATAGATATAGATATACAATTCATTGTTAAGTGAGAAAAATAAAATGGATGTGTATATTACAAAAGCAAAGGAAAAAGAGGTCAGAAAAAAATATACCCCAAAATATAGTAATACTTTTCAGTGGCTTTAAATTTTTACAATGTAAGGATTGTTTTACTATAACCAGAAAGGAAGAAGTTTGAAATCTCAACTACTTGTTACATAAAAATGTACACTGTTAATTAATAGCCCATTATAAAAGGATTTAAGTCATCAAGATTTACAGAATAAACATTAAATAAATTTGACAGAAGAAACTCTTATCAAGCATTTGTCACCTAGCAAAAAAAAAGCAGTTAATATATATCTTCTGATTTTAAAGCATGTGTCTAGTGATGCAATTTCCATGTGAGTGATAAAAGATTACATGCATTATAATTAATTTATAATTTCTGGTGTAAGGAAGGTAGGTAGGTAGTCCTGTGCATCTTCAAGTATCAAAACCTTTCAAATAATTCCTTTTGATGCATGGGAGCATACTGCCCTCTGCTGGAGATGTGATTCTACATGGTTACATAAAATTTTCTTTACTAAACACCACTATGTACATAAGAGATTGCACTGGGTACTGTGATCATCTGAGCTCTTTATTTTAGTCAACCTAGTCATCATGATTCATTTAATACCCATATACAGTAGATCACCATTATCCACAGTAGCTATGTTTTACAAAGTTGCCGAAAACACTGAATTAATGAAGAAGCACTGCTCCTGGGGGAAACAGGTTCTTGTGAACCTCTGGTTAAATTTTCTTCAACTGATTAATACAGAACCTATGTATGTTTCTATTTAAAGATACCTTATTTACATGTGTGTGTGTGATTCATTTACACTGAAGTCACAGCCAAGAGCACTCATGCCTGAACAAAGCTTATCTAACAAATATTTTCTCCATAAAGCACATCATAGCCTTCTTGCGCTTAGAGACACTTCAGCACTATGCTTGCGGGTCATTTTAAACAGCAAAATCTCTAACAAAAGGTACAAAAATGTGAAAAACATAACACTAGACAGAAAAAAGGGCACCTTTTAACAGTATGAGAACTGAAATGAGAAATCAGTGTTGCCTTGTTTGACCTCGGCTGGGAATGTGCCTGTTGGGTGACTGAAATTGTTCATTGTTCTATGCATATGCACGCCCATAAATAATTGTAAAAGCACCACAAATATTGATTTGCAGTTACAAATAAATTTTAGCAAGTAGAAGAATTGGAAAATATAGAATCTGTAAATACCGAGGACCAACTGTATGATATAATGTCAACTATTTTTCTGTTTTGCTAAATACTAATACTATAATTTAACTGTTCAGAGAATGGAAATAATATTTAAGTCTCAGAGAAGATTAAATGAGCTACTATACAATTATCTGAGAAGATAACATTTAGACATTATTTCTATGGGAAAAATTTTGGATTCTAAGCCAACAATTCACAAACAAGCTGGGGGTGGAGGGGAAATCAGTTGTAAATCGAAGATTAGTATTTATGCAGAAACGCGCTAGAATCCAGAAGTCCATAAAACAGAACAATGAACTTGGTCCATACTCTTTGACCTAGAAAATTCTACTACTAGAAATTTAGCCTACGGTTGTCCTTGCCCATGTGTAACATGATATTGCTGCAGTTATGTAATAGCAAGAGATATGTCCACTGATAGCAGAATGTTAAACAATAGTACAGCTATAAATAGAACAGTTTGTTGGAAAGAATACAGTAGCTCTGTATGAAGTAACATAACACTATTGCCAAGATGTAAGTTACCAAAAAAAAAAAGACAGAGGAAAAGCTGAGAGAAAAATGATGTAAAATACATGTAAATAAAAAACAAAACAACAGAAATAAAATTATATACTCATGTGCTTCTACATGTACAGACGAGCTCTAGAGAGATGCACAAGAAACTAGTAGCAAGTGGTGTCTTTGGGCGGAGAACTACATGGTTAGGTACAGGTGGGTGGGAGGTTTACTCATCACTATATACCTTTTTGTACTTTTGGAATTTTTTATAAACCCTGGTCTTATTAGCTTTCCATTTAAAATGCATTACATGACTGACAACTTGTCCATACTACAAGTCTCTCTATTCTTAACTCATTATCCTCCAAATTTCTAATTACATATGAAAAATCAGAAAAAAAGACTCAGATACAGAGAACAAACTGATGGTTGCCAGATGGGATGGGCGTTGGAGGCTGTGTGAAAAAGGTGAAGAGATTAAGAAGTACAAATTGGTATTTTCAAAGTAGTCACAGGGATGTAAAGTATAGCATAGGGAATATAGCCAATGATATCATAATAACTATGTATGGTGCCAGGTGGGGTTCACTTTGTAAGTTATATAAATGTCTAACCATTCTGCTGTACACCTGAAGTTAATATAATATTGAATGTCAACTGTAATTGAAAAAAGTAAAAATTTAAAAAAATTTCTTTATAATTTTCAGTAGATACCTGCAACCTTACCTTAAATATAATTACGATCGGTATATCTTCTGATAAAGTATTATGCCTCAAATAAAATCGTCCTTGTTTCACAGCCATATTGGTTCTGCTTTTTTTCTCATGGGTAGAGCTACAAGGAAATACAAGTTGGTTAAACTGCATCCCCATTTAGTTTCAAGCTACATGCAATAGAAATGTATGTCAATCAATAAGGTTTAACTGATCAATAACAATCAGTGAGGTCCTATCTAATAGGTGCTTTTTAAAGATGTCCAACTCCTCTCCTGCCCCTGCCACTTGCATTTTAAACACTATAAATGTTTCTTTAGCTTTGAGATTATGGTGGAAGTTTTGTGGGTGAATTTATTTTGACCTACTTCACTTTGATTCCACCTGAACTCCTTGGATCCAATGTGGGGCATATATTCACAATCAATTTTATAGATTGAAGAGAAAAACCTCAAAATGAGCCTGTACCATAATGAGAAACTATGAAGAAATGAATTTGTATACTAATAATCCAATAAAACATACCTATAGTCTGGGTATACTGTGAAGAAAACAAGAAACCTAAGGCAATCTCCTGTTATAGATCTCTATTCACTATAAAATTTCCAGTGGATTTAAAAACATTTCAACACTTTATTCATTCATAAAAGTAACACACACTAATCACCAGCTACATATTATGCACCTTTACCAATCTATTTACATTAGCTCTAATCTCATACATACTAAAACTTATTTTGAAGTGTTGCCTCCGAATCACATATGAGGAAACCAAGGCTCAGAGAAGCTAAGTAACTGCTCACCCAAGTACCTCATAGCTAGTAAACAAAATCTTTAGGATTCAAATCCTGATTGCCCTGGTTCCAAAACTGCAAACAGTGTGAAGACATATTGTAGAATTATTAGATCTGGGTTCAAATGCTTATTACCTCTGATGATGGATGTGACCTGCACTCAAGGTCTGTTACTCAACTATAAAACAGAGATAATATCACTTATCTTGGAGGACTGAGCTGACAAATAACATAGGTAAAGCACCTAGTATACTGCCTGGTTCCTAATCACTGCTCAATAAATGGCCATTATTGTCAGTTGCCTCTCTATCAGAAAGAAAAATGAAAAAACTCTGAGTTAAGAAGTTCAATACAGGTTGTTAGAAGAAAAATTCTACTACACACTGACATCTTAACTATGTCATAAATTTTTTATATCCAGAATCCATTAACTTCCAAAATTCAAATTACATATGATAATAAGTCAGAGGAAAAAAAATTACAGTAGTAATATAAGGGATACTGTTATAGAAAAATGAGTATACTGTGAAAGAGGCTGGTCTGAAAAACTAACAATAAGATGTTAAGTTCATGAAATAATTCATTAAATATTAAATGTAAAATAGTCTCATATTATATCAACAGAAATAATCAATAATAAAAATAATCTGGAATACATATGTAAAAATCCAGAAATATTTTTTTTAAAGTTCCTTTAATGCTACAAATTAACATAAAATTCAACTTTTAAAATAACTAGCGGCTTTTCAAACAATGTCTCATACATTCATCACAGAAAATTTTAAATCAATACTCTATGCTTACAGTGTTACACAGTAAGTTGAATACAGATAGTTTAAATATTTCCCTGCCTATTATCAGAGAGAAATAACTGGGCACCTCCATATCAAAAGACAGCCATTTAATATTAATGGAATTATCAGTATTTCTTAAGAACACCATCTCTGCTTTCCATACCTGGTAACTGACGCACCAACTGTCCCTTTCCTGTCAGCCTCCACAATAATCCTGTTCTTAGACAGCTGCTCTTGGATAAGAATAACTTTCTCCACTCCTTTAACAATGAAGTAGCCACCTGCCCGAAGGAAACAAGAACAGTTCCACCATCTAGTCTTCTAACAGTGTGCTTTAGTAATCTCCTGAATTAGAGATCATTCTTCCATTGCTTCATGGCACTTGGCCACCACTTAATTCAAAGAGGTTTGCTGTTTTATTAATTAATGATAGTGTCAGCACATGATTTTATATAAAATGAAGCACAAGATAATAAACTTCTTGACAGGAAATGTATCTTAGTGTCTATGCATCACCAGCACCTGACACATATAGGAGGTGATTACAAGTAATTATGTTAAATAAATTAGACTGCAGGTTTCTTAAGCAGAAAAATAGCTAATCATCTTCAATATACACTGAAATTTGCTCTAAGTTTTCTAACAAATCAGTGATAATGGTAAGCTAGGTTTCTGTAATATTCTATACTCAATAAAACTCATAAAGTATTACCATATATATTTTTGCACACAATTCAGAATATGACAAAGTGAGACTTCACTTTACCTTCAGAATAAAGTAGAAACAGGGCAATATATTTTACTTATGCAACATTTTATTATAGTCTAAAAGTCACGTTCTTTGTTAACTTCTTTCCAAAACCTTCTGGGAGTCTACATCAATGCAACTTTAAAGGAAGTAGATTAAAGCAACTATAAATTAAATCAGTGTGAAATATGAGTTAAGGAATTAAAAGAAACTTTCTGTTAAGTGCTAAGCTTGAAACTTTATAAAAGAAACTTCCTAAAAACAGGTACAAAAATGTGATTTTTAAAAATTTAAACAGAAGACTTTTATTTCCCCCCTGCAATGCATTTAAACTAGCCTGAAATTAGATGTTTGAGTCTTTACAAACTAGCTAGATAAGTAACTTTGTGAGATTATTTTTTAATTTTTAAGTACACCAAAAGAGCATTACCCTGGAGCAAAGAGACAAAGAAAATACTGACAAACCAAAGCAATAAATACTTGGGGTATTAAAGTTTTAAACTGAAATAAAAGAAGAAACAATATATCTTTTAGAAATATAGACTAATAGAATAAAGTTGAAACCAAATTTCTGGATGTTTTGTAAACAAAGTTTTATCAAAGTTCGTTATAAAGCAGAAAGGCTGGTATTGTTTTAAGGAAAATGTTGAACAACAAAAAACAAAAACAAAGGAAGTGGAGCAAATCCAAGGACTCACACATACCTGGATCTAAAGGGCATTCATTCAGTTTGGCAAATTCTGCTGGCGTTTTCCCTGTAAGAACACAGTTTGAACTACGAAGCATTATGGGCATTCTGTTTAAAATAAAACAAAAGAAATGATCACATAAAGATTGTCACTGGGTGTGTGTGAGTGTGTGAGTGAGCATGTGCGAGGGCAGGTGTACCTCTGAGTGTCTGAGCAAGGACACGGGGTGAGCAGTTTGGGCTATCCTGGCGGAGGAGCCGTGAGGCCCATTGCCAGGAGTCAGGGTCCAGGGACTGCAGTATTTGCTGGGGAGGGGGCTGTCGCTTCCCCCGCCCGCTTCCCCAGCCCTGGGCGCCTCCAGGTGGCTGGAACCACAGGCTGGAGAGACTGAGAAGATGCAGCTAGGTCACGAAGCCAGGAATGCCGGCACTGAGAGGTGGCTGGATAAGCGCTGGCTGAGAAGGCTACAGTGGGGGCACAGTGGCGGGAGACCAAGGCTGAGACTCACGGGAGGGAATGGCCAGAACGCCCGCCATCATCCCACCTGGGAAGTTCACCCAGATCTGTGCTGCGGGAAGAGCCACATGGTGGAATTCAGGGACGGGGAGGGGTCTGACCCGCACACCCAGCAGTGAATCTGAGGGACAACTCAAAAGTTCCGGAAGAATTTTTGGCAGAGAGCAGGAAAGGGGCTGGACAGTGTGGCCCAGGAAAGAGCATTGGTCCTGCCCACTTAGGTGCAGGGGAGGCATGCCTTCCCCCACCTGCAGAATGGCTGCAGCAACCCGAGAAAAGGGGGACCAGCTCTGGGCTGGAAATCTATACACCAGTGGCTGGGTCTGGTGGGTGGGGAACTTTGACAATGGCCTGGTTAGAGCCTTGGCGGATGCCTTGCCCAGTGGTCAGACACAATGAAAGACTGGAGTGCTAAGCAGGGATGATTTATTTATTATCCCTTCCTGCTCGAGAAGGTAGAAGGTAGCAAGGAGGTGCCAATGAGCCAGGCAGGGCTGAGGCATTGGAAGGAGAGGAAGTACCCACCACCCTTCTACAAGCTACATATACCACCCCCAAAACGAGTCTGTTTAAACCATCATGGCAGGACACAGAGCCCAGCTCCATGGAGGCAGGGAGAGTAGCTCAGAACAGGGACAGTCAAGCTGCGAGCCCCTAGGCAGCCCCAGCCTCTGGGTTATGGAGGCCCCGTCCACCAGACTACTTGGAGCTCGGCCCTGCCAGTGCTTCAGTCAGGTTGCCCAAAGGCCAGGCAGGGGCAGCAAGAAACATTGGCTGGCACCAGCACCAAAATATCAAGGGGCCTGATTCAACAACATCAGAGCAAAATCCAGCAAACTCCACAAATAGCAGATCCAAATATTTTTTTCTTTTCATATCTTTCCTTTTATTCGTTTTTCCTCTTTTTAAATTTTCTGTTTTCTTTTCCCATTTTTCTTTTCCTATTATATATTTTAATTTATTCATTATTGTTACTTTTAAAAAATATTATTATTTTTTCATTTATTTTTTTCTTTTCTTTTTTAATCTTATGCTATTTCTTTTCCTTTCACATTTTCTTTTTTGGGTTCTTTTTTCTCCTCTAATTCTTTTGGCCGCACATATTTTAGTATCCTTTTTTTTTCTTTTCTTTTTCTATTTTAGTCCTTTTTGTTGTTGTTTTGTGTGTGTGTGTGTGTGTGTGTGTGTATGTCTGTGTGTGTCTGTTGTTTTCAATTCAGTCTTGTTTTGTCTTGATTTGTTCTGTCAGCACCTATATAACTGTTGGCATGATGTGGTTGGGGTTGAGCCCAACCACAAATGCGACAACAGCAATCAAGACCCAAGTATAACAGGAGGGCCCATTTAATCCAAGCAAGGGACATTCCTAGTGCTCCCAGCTCAGAAGATCAAGGAGACTACACACACCACAGGTCCCACAAGAAGTCCACTTCACCAAGACTGGGAGGCACAGCAGTCTTATCCAATACACAGAAACAAACACAAAGAAACAGAAAAAAGTGGAGAAACAAGAAAACAGGCCCCAAATGAAAGAACAGGGAAAAATCTCCAGAAAAAGAGCTAAATGAAATGGAGGCAAGCAATTTATTAGAAACAGAGTATAAAGTAATTAGAATGCTCAACAGCATAAAAAAGGGCACAGAAACCATGAAAAACAACCCAGTCAAAATGAAGAATAAAATAGCTGAAATAAAGAATACACTGGAAGGAATTAATAGTAGGTTAGAAGAAGAGGATTGAATTAGCAAATTAGAAGGTAGAAAAAAAAATCACTCAATCAGAGCAGCAAAAAGAAAAAAATGCTTTAAAAGCATGAGGACAGTTTAACCCTTTGAGTGCCAACCAATATCGTAGGAACTATGCTAAAATTGCCAAGGCATTTTTGCTGATTTTACAGCAGTTTAGGAAAAAAATTATGAATAGCAAGTAAATGAAGTTACATGTTCAAAAACTTAAGGACACCTTTACTACAATGACATATTTAGCAATATCATCATCACTAATAAAAGCAGACTTAGAACTGGACGCCATTTCGAAGCTTTGATAGCGCTCCCGTAACTTTTGGCGAAAGACAGGAGGAGCGCGATTGCGCTCCCCGGCACTCTAGGGATTAAGGGAACTTTGGGACACCATGAAACAGAACAACATCTATATCATAGGGGTGCCAGTTGGAGAAAAAAGTGAATAAGGGATTAGAGAACCTGTTTGAAGAAATAATGACAGAACTTTTCTAACCTGGTGAAGGAAAAAGTCACACAAGTTTAGGAAGCGCAAAGTCCCAATCAAGATGAACCCAAAGAGACCCACATCAAGCCACATCATAATTAAAATGGCAAACATTAAAGACAAAGAATCTTAAAGGCAGCAAAAAAGAGAGTTTCCATAAGGCTGTCAGCTGATTTTTCAACAGAAATACTACAGGCCAGAAGGGAATGGCATGAAGTAATCAAAGTAATGAAAAGCAAGGATCTGAAACCAAGACTACTCTGTCCAGCAAGGCTATCATTGAAAACTGAAGGTGAAATATCTTCTCAGATAAAAAAAAAAAGCTAAAGAAGTTTATTACCACCAAACAATATTGCAAGAAACATTAAAGGGACTGCTGTAAGAGGAAGAATACATATATATTTATTTATATTTATAGGTTTATATTTACTTATTTACTTTTATTTATATACTAGAGGCCCAAAGCACGAAATTCGTGCAAGGAGCTCGGCTCTCGCAGCCACAGTGGTTTGCCTTGGCCCTCGCAGACCTGGCTTTGTCAGGAAAGTTGACTGGTCTAATTAGCACATTATGCTTTTATTATTATAGATTTAGAGAGAGAGAAACATAGTATAAAAAATAAAACGGGAGAGGACATTGGGGGGATAAGGACACATTTGTAATATCTTAATCAATAAAGGGAAAATAAATTTAAAAAAATAAAATGGGCATTAAATATGTACCTATCAATAATCTTAAATGGTAAATAGATAAAATACTCCAATCAAAACACATGTAGCCTGAGTGTAGCTGACAAGAACTATATGATTATCTTTCTATTTACCTGAGCAACCATCATAGTGCATGACAAATAATGAGAAGTTGGTACATATTTGTTGAACTAATGGATTGTTTATTAAGCTCTTAGCACTTTTGAAGGAGGAAAAAAACTTGAATGGGAATTATGTGGAGTAAGTTTAAAGTCCAACATCATTCATAACCATTATTATTATTATTATTATTATTATTGTGGGTTTTGTCCATTTCTACAGGAGAGTCAATATATTTCTCTAGTTAGGACATGCAGACTGCAAAAATGCTAGCGATCATTTCCAAATCTGTTCTGGGTAAATAAGTAACTTCTCCCTTAAATACTGCTATATGAAAAACAGTTAAATGGCCAGGAAAATCAAACTTAAGATATACATGAATCCACCAAGAAGACCAGTCCAGAGACTTCATTGAAATGCTTTCTTACCTAATGTTTTCCTAACAGCCTGGTATTACAGAGGAAATGAAAGCATTTTCCTTAACTTTATAGAAAACATTTCACAATTAAAAAACAATAACCACAAATATGTGCTGGATACTGCTTAAGTGTTTTATATCTACTGACTCACTGAATCCAGAAAATAAGCCATGAACTAGGCACCATTTCCCACATTTTTCAGATGAGGAAATGGGCAAAGAGAACTTTAGTTGCTCGAGGACACCTCACAGGGCTGGAATGCAGGTAGTGTATCTCTAATACCAACATCATTTCTTACCTGCCAATGGGTAAAGCATTGCGGATGATCCTCTGGCTGCCCCGGGTATATTCAATATCCACTGTAATGGGGGCAGAGTATGTCATGTCCCGCAGGCGACACTAAAATAGATTCAGACAGTCACTGCTCCTCCTCTCTGGAAAAGAAAGGTTCTGAGAGCTCCAAAGAGCTCCTTCTTTAGTAGAAGTATGGCTCATGTTCAACTTGGATCTGTCCATGGAACACTGAGCTATTACATATGCTACCTTAGGGCACTGGGAATGATGAGCCTACCTTCTCCTTGAGAGGATGATTCCAGCTATAGATCTAGCCATCACCACAGCATCTCCGCCCCTGCCAGCCCAGATATGAAACAATAAATCTGGTACTGATTTTCTTCTCTCTGATCTGATGCGATAACCAATCTGCTCCCATATCTTTGTTGCTGCCTTTTTCAAAACAGTTAACCAGTATAATAACTAAAGTACACACACACACACACACATATATATACATACACACAAACTAAAAAGTTTAAACTATACTACCTTTTATTCTCCAAATAAACAAAACTAGATCACAAAATTCCTTAACAAATGATAGATTATAGCACAAATCATTCATCACATCGTTCTAATAATTGCTGAATCATTTGAGGAACTTTAGAAATTGCTGCTGAGTTTTATGTGGCTCGCAAAATGATGTCCTTTGCTGAGCCTTGATCAGACAGAGGAAACCTCATCAGAATCATCCAATGACTTCCCCATTATATTGATGGTCATCAGGTGGCTTGTAGTCTCAAAAGAAATTTCTCTGACCATCAACCTTACAATTTATGGTGCTAAATCATCTCTGTGGCTTCTACTGAACCAAAGATAGTTAGATTTAAACTTTTTCTAGTCTTTATCAATACGCCTGAAATTTTAAAATATTAGATATTCCTATTATTGACCAATAGAAATTATTTATTTTATATTTAATTAGATCAAGTCTCCTCCTTCAGGTCAGACCAAAGGCAGTGTGGCATGGTGGTTCAAAGTATGGATTCTATTGCCTGTGCTCAAATCTTGGTTCTACCACTTAAATTTTACATCTCTTCCTATGTAAAATGGGAATAAGAATAATTTTAATTCCCGAGAGTATAAATAGGTATTTTTAAAATGATGCCTAGTATAGAACAGTATAATATCATCTCATTTTTATTAATAAAACTAACGTAATGTCCATGATAGGCAAACATTTGTGGGTTTTTAACAAACTTATCCCTTCAAATGGAAATGAAATTCAACAGATGTCGTAAGAATTGGGACCAAACTTTGTAGGTTCCCGAACTACTTCCGTGGGTCCCCTCCATCCTCCTCGGCCTCTATTGCAGGAGTAGGACTGCTCTGGTGGAGTCTGCAGTACCTGCACCCCGCCAGTCCTGCTGTGGGTCCCATGACCGCCCACCCATCTGCTCTCCCACTCTCCCCAATTCTCCAAGAGTCAAAATCTCTCCAAGAAATCTCCACACCCTCTCTAATTACAATACTTACATGTTTTTCAACATAAGAAAGAATAATTATAATGACAATTGTAGCCTCAGCCTTCTTGAACTACTTCAGACTACTTTGTCTTCTCCTTTCTCTGAACTCAGTATATTGTTTACAGTAATACAGTTTAGATGACTTAGAAATTGCTAACTGGCTGCTTAGTTCTCAAAAAATTGGAAAGTTCTAGCAAAAGGGAATGGGAGGTGGGGAAAGCCAAACTGGGGCACACACGTTCCAATATCCCATAATCCTCACCACTTCCTACTCAGTACAACTTCACATATTTGCCTTCCTACCTGATCATTCCAGACATTCAAAGTGTGTAACCCCTGGTGCCTCCGTTTCACATGTTTTATAATTTTAATCTCTCCACAAGAGTATGAACTCCTAGAGGAAGAATATGTGTCTCATTTCTTTTGTATCTCTCAATGTTGAGACACAAAATAAATGTTCAATATTTGGTGACTAAGTAGTACCAAAATTTATTTATGTAAAATGTCTGGTTACTTGTTCATACTTCCTATGTAACCTTACTTAGACAACCATACAATCTAACACCTTAATTGTTGTTTAATAAGATTCCTGTGCTATGTTCCATAATTGCTATTTTAGCATTATATTAATACACACCAGATAAAGCTACAAAAATCATTTTATTCCCTGAATCAATTCCCAATTCTGGATATCAAGTGGAAGAATTTGAAAAGAAGTCTAGTATCTGTTAAAAGCCAATAAACAGACCTATTCTATAACCCTCTGTCTGCATCTCTGTTAATAATCTGGTATTTACATTTCTTCTCATCCACCTCTTCTATTAGACTGTGAGCTCTTGGTCCTTGGTCTCCTCTCCCTAACACAATGCCTGCTGACCCTCAAAAAATGCACGAAGCAAGTAATCTCTGCAAAAAAGAGCACCATGCTAGGCACAAGTGGCTGGCAAGGGGCTGGGAGATACCACTAAAATGCTCAGAAACAATATAAATAGGGCAGTTATATAACAGTGCAAGTTAATAACATTAAATGATAAACTAAACAGTACAAAACTGTTTCCTAATATAGTACTGTATTATATAAGTGCTTGTTTATTTTGGTTACCTGCCTCATAAGAGATTTTTTTTTTTACCTGTTTTTAAATCATCTTTCAAGAGTATCTATTAAGGGCACAGACTCTTTGAGTTAAAGTAAACAAATTCAATTAAAGTAAGGTTAAAATTACCTCATGAGGGGACACTGGTCTGGTTACATTGAAGCTTTCTTCAACATCAGGAAGCCCAACATAGATATTAAGATATCTGGAAAGCAAATTATTCCATTACCAATTATAGTTCACCAAAGAATATATAAACAAAAAAAAAAGACAGTTTCCTCCTAAATACAGGATTATGCTTTGACAATTGTTTATCTTGCTAAGGATGACAAATTAAAAATTATAATTGGAGAACTTCTTAAAGTGATAGTACATATAACTTTACAAAGGAGGGCAAGTACTCTCTAACAGAATATCTTTTTAAAAAACAGTGTAGCCCAGCCAGCTCAGTGGTTGAATGTCGAACTATGAATCAGGAAATCATGGTTCAATTCCCGTCAGGGACATGCCCAGGTTGCGGGCTCAATCCTCAGTGTGGGGTGTGCAGGAGGAAGCCAATTAATTATTCTCTCTCATCACTGATGTTTCTATCTCTCTCTCCCTTTCCCTTCCTCTCTGAAATCAATAAAAATATTCAAAAAAATAAAAATAGTGTAAATCTCTACAAAAATACTAGAAATAGCTTCCTTAAAATGATACTTAATGAAAAAAGCAAAGTACAAAAGAGTATCTATAGTATGCTACGATTCATATAAGAAAAAAGAGGCTATAAGGGGAAAAATATATATGCTCATTTGTGCAAAAGAAATCGAAGGGACTTCTATAAAACAACCAATCAGAATTCCTCAAAAGTGTCAAGGTCATGAAAGACCAAGAACGATTAAGGAACTGTCAGTCTGGAGGAGAGTGAAGAGGCATGACAATTAAACATACTGTGGGGTCCTGAATTGAACCCTGAACCAGAAAAAAGGACATTAGTGGGAAAACTTTAAATAAGATCTATAGATTTGTTGCTAATATAGTATCAATACTAATTTCCTGGTTTTGCTAATTGTGCTATGATAATATAAGATGTTAATAGTAGCAGAAGCTGGGTGAAGAATAAAATGGGAACATTGTACTATTTTTGTAATTTTTATTTAAGTCTAAAATTGTTTTTAAAAATTTAAAACCCTAATAGTTTTAGTAACTTCTTAATCATAATGCTATGTGTTATACTAGTAATCAGTTTACCAATTAAAAATTGAACACTTGATAATTAACTTATTAAACAGATTAAAAAGAGTTTTGGTAGCAACTACATTCACTTTTTAAAATGTTAGACATTATCAAAAGTATCAAAAGAGTAATTGATAGTTGGATTTCTTACTTTAGGTACCACATGGGGTCAGCATCACTTGTAACCTTTTCATTGGCTTTCATGATCTTCTTTATCTGCAGTGGAAAGAGTAGCATTAGGAAAGACTCTAGCTTTCAATTAATTCTTAGCTGTGTGTAGTTCTAAGATCTGATGCTTACCTCTACATTAATAAAATAGTTGAATGAATCTATATGCTGTTTTACAAGGCCTTTCACCTAAATAGAAAAGGGGAAACAGTAGATTAGCAACAAAAGTAGGTTAGCAGATAATATAATAGACTCTAATCATAGGTAATCATCAAATTTGTCTTAAAACCAAAGTGATGGGAAAAATTTCATGAATTTTGTTTAGTAAAACTTTACATTTATATGTCTTCATTCCATTTCTTCTCCATCTTACTAGAATATCCTCAAATTTTCCTCCTTGAGAAGCAACCTGACTTTGGGAAATCAAGATACAAGTATTTGAATATACCTAGTAACTCCACACAAGCTAATAAATAAGGTAGAATTTTCTCTGCATATTTTGAATTTTCAAAAAAATATAGCAATTGAGCATATCATCATCTCTTCCCCCTCAAACAATGCCCATTTACTTTTTGTCTTTCTCCTACCTGGGCAATTTTATGATTTTCACACATCAAACTGGTCTTTCATATCACTTTATAGAAGAATGAGGGAGGAAAATAAGAATCTCTATTAAGAAAATACTTGTATTTGATACTGAAAGCAGGTGAAACTCAACAAACCCAAGATCAGATACCAACTAGCAGCGCCTTCCTTTTATTTCAGAAGTCAGTAATAACTGTACACAGATAGTGCTGTGTACTGCTACGGAAAATAGTGAAATAATAAACACAGACTCCAAAATCTTATGATTTAAAAGGACTGTACGTGTTCATTTTCTTTACGTTAATCTTCAAACACAATTAGTTCAACACTTCTAGAACTTTCTTGACAGATAGTCATAGAACTTTTGTTTTAATTATACTTCCTTATTGGGCATCTCACTGGCTTACAAAACAACCATCCCATATTTTAAAGTAGTCCTGATTGTTGGGGGGGAAAATTCAACCTTATAATGATGAGGTCTACCTTCCTCGTTTCCACCCCTTGGACTTAATAGTCTCTTCTGATCTGCCACGCTACTTCCGCTCTAAAATTAGATTACCACTCCCCCAACTAGCAGAAATACTGCCTTATAATTCCTTGTATTTCCCAAACCTAGCAATATACACAATTGTATATAGTAAAATAATGGTGATAAAAATTTAATCTTAACAAAAGGCTTATTTCTTGACTTTTCATCAGAAAATTAATTATTACTAAAGATTCATTACCTTTAAAAATGCTGGAAGCAGCCTCCATTTTTCCTGTGAATCAAAATAGTAAGAGTGTCAGGATGTGTGCCGGCAACCACATATTTTTTATGTTATTTTAATGTACCATAAATGACTCACTTTATCACAATAAGTGAAAGAAAGTAAATCAAAATGAAACCAACAATTTTTACATAGTCATCACTTTTATGGAAATCACATAGGTATGTATGTGCATATGTGCATACAAATATATGTATTAATACATACGTATACAACAGATTTCTTAAATAGAATCTGATTTAGTCTCTTCTTGATGACTCAAGATCCCAAGTACTTTATTTATTCTCATGACACTTCCTGAGTAAGTGGGTCTGCCAGTTTGAGAAAGGGAAAGCAAGTTTCCGAGGGTCTGGTGGGGAAGCCAGGTCTCTCGAGTTCTTTCTCTCTCCCACTTTCTGTCAACTAGTGCATGGTCAGAGCTCACCTCAGGGCAGTAGAAGGACGGCACACGCGGTGTTCACCTTCTACATTAAAGAGCTGCAAACTGCTACACTTCTTTTGTTCTTAGACCTGTTATTTATACTTTGCTGAGGTTTTAAGTAGCCCACCATGATACGGCCCTTTTCATGAATGGCATCTAATCTGCTAATGGGAAATCTAACAAATGGGTAGAACTGAGTCTAAAGTAAGAATACGCTGTTTCTGAATAAGGGCCTAAGAATCACGTTAGACCTGGCAGCAACTGCAAAACTTTTGATCCTCACTCTGACATGAGAAGCATTGGAAGGTTCTGAACAAAAGAGTGACATGATGATGTGACTCATTTTGACTGGATCGGTTAAAATAATAGGTCGAACTGCTGGCCTGAGGAAAGACAAGTTAGAAGCAGGGAGATCATTTAAAAGTCCACTGCACGATTCCGGTCAAGGGCAGCTGATTGATGTTTCTCTCTCATCGATGTTTCTAATTCTCTATCCCTCTCCCTTCCTCTCTGTAAAAAAATCAATAAAATATATTTTTAAAAAAATAAATAAAAGTCCACTGTAATACTCCAGGCTGATAACAGTAGAAATAGTGAGAAATTGTTAGCAAGGAGACTCAATGTGAAGTTCAAGCCAACAGGCCTTGATAGATTAGATAGAGACTCTGAGAGAAAGAGGAGTCAAGATTGATACCTTAAAGTTGCCATTTATGGAGATGAGGAAGCAGGGATGCTGTCAAGAGCAGCAGGTTTCAAGTGTGGAGGGGCTATTAGGAGGTTGGTTGGGGGCATGCTTAGTTTAAGATATCCACTAGACACTGAGGTGGAGATGTCAAATAGACAACAAATATGAGTCTGGAACTTGGGAAGAGAGTGGCCTGGAGATACACATTAGGAAGAGATCAGCAAACAGATGGGAATTATAGCCACGTAATGGATGAGCTTGCCTAAGGGGTGTAGATGGAGAACATCAAGAACCTTCCAATATTTAGAAGGCAGATCTAGCAAAGGAAACTATGAAGAAGGAAGTTAAGCCAAGGAATGAGGCAACCAGGAGAAAGTAAAAACATTTTTCAAGAAAAAAAGGAAGGGGGTGTGGGGCATATGAGAGATCTCTGTACCTTCCTCTCAATTTCACTGTGAACCTAAAAAGCTCTAAATAAAATTGAGTCTTAAAAAAAAAAAAAGAGGGAATCAGGCAAAACTAATCTATATGATAGAAATCAAAGGACGGGGGTAGAGACAGACTAAAAAGGGAACTTTCTGGAGTGATGGAAATATTCTCCATTTTGTATTGGGTGGTGGTTACTTGGGAATCCATAACTGTCAACACTAATGATCGGAACACTCAGTACTCCTGTATTTTGCTGCATATACATCTACAGAGGAATGAGAGAAAGATCAAAAGGAACTAAATGAGAAGAATACAAATATCTCAGGGGAAGCAGGTAGTGAACGTAATGAGGGAGAGAGAGGCTGGGAAAGCTAACAGTGGCCAGACTGAGGAAGGCCTTATAAACATCGTAAACACCAGATTTTACCCTACGAGCAATGGGAAGAGACCGAAGAAGCTTAACCAACAGAGCAGCATGATCATATCTGTGTGTTTAAACTGATGGCTGTTGCCACCGAGCAGAGAGACAGGCCTGAGAGAAGTTAAGAGCCTGGGAAGCAATAGATGACAGTGGTTCAGACTTGGAGAACCGCGGGAATGACGTTTCAGATTTGAGTCTTAGTAGGCAGGACCCTGAAGATGGGATGGATGGTGGATGGGATGCTGGGGGGGCCATTCCTGAGTCAGACGACTCCAACTGCCGTTTTAGTTCCTCGGCAATGAAAGATGAGGACTCAGGAGTCAAGACTGCAAGAGTCCAAATTCCAGATCAGCCCCTCACCAACCTTCTGACGGGTTACTTAAACCTCTCTGGGCCTCAAAAACTTTCACTGGCATGGGGTGGGCACAGTACTTATTTCAGAGAATTAAATAACCATGCATGTTGGGTTGGCAGAGCCCGGCACATAGTAAGTGCTCAGTAAATGCTGGCTCTTCCTACCAACTCTTCAAGAGCAAAGATCCAGTATTGCCCGGTTAATGACCAGCAGTGTTTCCTGCAGGCTCTCACTGACGCGATCTGAGGGGCTGATAATCATCATCCGATCTCATTCATCAGCCAAATTATTATAAAGAGGTTTTCATAATCCGAGCGTTCACCCATCATGCCACTTTCCTGCTTAAACCCTCCGACAGCATCTCATTGCTCCTTCAGGTGAGAAGTCTGAGAAAACTTCTCATAACCTGGAGCTGTGCCCATCCTGCATCTTCATATCTCCTCTCCTCTCCTCCACTCTAGTGCTTGTTTCAGTTCTTCAAAGCCTTTCAGGTGTCCGGTTCTCTCCGCCCGAAATCACCCCACTATCTTTCCAAACCTCATTTCTCTGGATTTCCCCTCCACACCATGGACGATTCTGACGCCTGGAGGGGTTATATCTACACTAATAAAAGAGAAACATGCAAATTGGTCATCACTCCGCTACACCCAGCAGCCAATCAGGATGAGTATGCAAATTAACCCAACAAAGATGGCGGGTAATTTGCATACACAGGAGCAGAGCAAAGACTGAAGGCTCCAGCCCCATGGAAGACTGAAGAGGACTGAAGACTGAAGAGGCTTGGCTTCTCTGCTGCGGCTGGACCAAAGGCCTGGGTCCCGGGTGCTGGCGGAAAACGGGTGCTGGCAGCCAGGGGAAGGAAGGCCTATTGCACGAATCTTCGTGCAACAGGCTTC